ATAGAGGCTGAAACAAAAGCTGATCACTCAAAATTGAGGGTGAATCATTAAAAAAGGTGGTTGAAATTCGGTTTTGGGTGGAAGGTTTCTGAACGAAAACCGAGAAAGTGAACCAGAACCTGCGGTTTCGGTTAACCGCAAGGGAAAACCGAAACCGATGTTTGCGGTTTTCGGTTAACCGAAGTCTGTCAGTTTCGGTTTCGGTTAGTGATCTTGGGACAATTTTGGTTGCGGTTAACCGATAATTCGGTGCGTTAAACCGAAACCGCACCGACTAACACCCCTAGATCTGAGTACCAAAAAACCCGCCCCGTACCTGCCCCATTGCCATTCCTACTTTTATGTTGCATTTTTTTTTTAATTATTAACTAAGTGATATTTCAAAAACTAGGCGTCACTTTTTTCTCCCATGCCCGCTCGCTGTGATGCTTCCGTGACTGGATTTGTGCCCGTGTCCAGGTTTCTCCGGTCTGGTTTTCATAACACAGGTAATTACATATTCTTGACATGATATCAGAGCATCTAATAACCAATAAGGTTTATGCTTGAATTTCCACCATATGGGAGAATGGTATAAAAATATAGAACTTTGCTACGGTGACATGCATGTAACCGTAACTTGAACTTTTAGGTCGATCTCATATAGGATTAGGTCGACCTAATTTGCCGTTTCAGTCTTGTGCTAGAAGGCAGGTTACTTCGTAGCAACTTCGAGCCTTTTGTTTGAATCCTTCTAGATATACAATATTTCATCAAATGCCTTGACTTTGTAGACAAACATACCTACTTTCATGTGGTAGAGGCCCCTGGACTCGAATCTCATTCATGCTTCTCGAATTGAGCTCCAAAGTAGGCTTCACAAACACTTTCCCAAACTTAGTCATTTTCAAGCAGTTTCCCAGTTTTGGCATAACCTTTTGATCAGGTTAAAAAATGGTCTTCTGGACTTCCTATCGAGCTCTCAAGCACTTCAGTGTGTAGAGGGACACTCCAGCTTCAAAACAAGCCATTAATCTCCAATTTCCCTCAAGCCAATTGTAAGACATGAATCTCCAAAGTAGGCACCATGAAACTGTTTAATTTTTACACTGAAACAACATATTAGGTCGACCTAATCCTAATTGAGGTTGACCGAAAAGTGCAAGTTATGGTAACATGCATGTCACCATAGGCGCACCAAAAAATATATTATGATTGCTCTCTAACAACTCTAAATAAGTCAGTTAATTAAAATAAATTTTATATTTGTACATCTTCTAACAAAATTGAGTTTTTATTTAGTAACATTGGTTGGATTTGAAGTGTGAACATTTTAGGTTTTAGGTTTTACATGATATGCTATTATGAGAATGTATTTATTTTCATCCAACTGAGTATTTTTGGCGCACTTAAAATACCACATAGTTGAGGTTCAAATGATTTTGTAATACTAAAACATTATGATTGGGGTGAATCTCAATTACCTTAACAGTTGCTCTAATACTAAAACATTGATTAAACTAGTGTTTTTTTTTTCATACACATTATCTACGAACTTGTTCTCGAAAGTGAACCCGTTTCGAGCGATCCATATATTCCATAAGCTGCATATAATCCTCTTGATCGCCTCATCCGACACATTCTCTCGAAGGGAGAAGAACCACTCTGCGAATGTAGTCTCGGGTGTCGGTGGGATGGACAGACCTCCAAAGCACTCCCATATACTCTCATCATGCTGGCAATGAAAGAACATGTGCATGATTGATATCCTTGAGAAAAGACGGGCACGAGTCGCAAGTGCACTTTTTGCACTCTTCCAGATGAAGAAACAAAGTTTTGGGGGGACTAAAAGAGACCAGAGCCATTTCCAGTCTTGCCTATTGGGTTGAGCCTCATTTGAACCTGCAGACAAAGACAAAGAAGTATGGTCTCTAGCTTGACGCAAAGATCTATAAGCTGAACTTACCTTGTATGCCCATGTGGTTGTGTACTTCCCAAACCACTTATCTTCATATGTAGAGGGGCCGATTGGAATACTCTTGATAGCCTTAACCATCTCGTGTGGGATAACCTCTTGTAAAGCCTCCACATTCCATTCCCGGGTTGAGGGAGAAATCCAATCACAAACTTATGATGGTTCAAAATTAAAGCTCTTGAGGGTGAACGATGGAATAGATGATAACCATGCATCACAATGAAACTTCGTTCCTTCCCCTGACATAATCCCTTTAACCCATCCAATCTTCAAAGCATCCTTGGCATCACAAAAGCCATTCCAAATCCATGATCCTTTTCTTCCTTTTGAAGCTGAATACAAGTCCCCATTGGTAAAGTAGAGACCCTTAAGTAATGGTACCATTTCCCCGCCCTTAACGACTACGTTAGCTGAGAGAGAATTTCTAGGCTTGGCTGAAACTAGAAATTGTGATCGTTCTAACTCTTCTATACGTCCAGCTATGGAGCATACTCAACCTAGGGGATCCCGATCAAACCCCTCACCACCGCCTAGTGCCTTTCATAGGATTGTGCACTGTATGGTTCCTTTGTTTCTGAATCACAGATGGCGGCTTGTGGGATTACAGTTGCTAATTCCCATGGTCAGGTGTATGACGACAAGGCTGAGAGATTATGTTGTTCCAATTCGATGCAGGCGGAAGCTTATGCCATTCTCAATGCAGTGATCTTGGCGGTTCGGGAACAATGCTCAGCTTGTGTCAAATCTGATTGTCAGATTTTGGTGAATGCTCTTAAGCTTGTTCCGGACCATAAGGAAGTGGTTAAGTACCATATATGGGCTTGTATAAGATCCAACATAACCTTCTCCCAACAACTCGAGTTATTGGGACCAACTGGTTTATGACATGGTATCAGAGCTGGTTATTCTGTGAGGTCAAGTGTTCAAGTCCTCACGACCCCCAATATTAATCGTTGTCTTTCAAGCACATGGCATGGCGGGCCTGTGCAAACTTTAAGCCCATGAGTTGGCTTTCGTTTGAGGGGGCGTGTAAAGAAGTGGTTAAGTACCATACATGGGTCTGTATAAGATCCAACATAACCTTCTCCCAACAACTCGAGTTATTGGGACCAACTAGTTTATGAAACAGACCAGTGGCATTGGCAATGTCGGGCTTTACTTGCTCATGTCTCGACCATTCTCGTCTCGGCTCCGTGGGTGAAAGTGATGTTTGTTCCTAGACGTCACAATCTGCTAGCCGATTGGGTTGCTCGTAATGCTAGATTAGATGCTCTCCCACAATATTGGATTATTATTGCCGATAGATTGTCACCACTGTTGTAATCACATGTACTTCCACTGTTTCGAATTGGAATAAAAGTGCCGCAATTTGTTAAAAAAAAATCTATGAACTTGTTCCATATACATGACATACTGAAAATTATCACCAAAATCCTAATTCGCGACCATGAAAGACAAAAACTGGTTATCAATCATCAAATATTCAAATTAGTTTTATCGCCAATATTTAGTTTTATACTTTTAGTTTCAGTTTTTTTTTTTTTTTTTATCTTTGTCTAAGCTGCTAGCCGCATAGCTACTAGCCTGAGCCAGAGCCTGAACGTGCAGTCAAGTAAGTTTGAATTGAAGATTCCTGTCATTTGTTGCTAATACGAGGTTCTTGTAATGGTCATGGCAGCCTGGAGTAGCTCATTGTTTAAAGAAACTGGGTTGGCATTGCTTGGGGTTTTCTTCCCCTGAAATATTATGGGCTATTGGTTATTATGTTTTGCGAATGTATTCGCGGGACTTATTTCTTTTGCCGGCCACACCTACAAATAATTATATTATTATTATTTATGCTGTTTCAATTTCTTTGATAAGCGACTTTTCGAATATATACGACCCAAACGTATACTCCATGAACTGTAATAATAATAATAATAAAATTGAAATTTATTATTTGACTAAGAATTTTGATTTTAGCTTTGTATTAAGTAATAAAACAGTTTGTATTGGGCTCAATCTCGAATACTCAATCTCAAATGACTAATGAGTAGTAAACTTAAAATATTAATGCTATGTAGGAACTCCAATATGGATAGTTAGAATTCTACTAGGTTTAGAGGGCGGGTTTAAAAATAAAAATAAAAAGCATAGTAGCCAACCACTTCAACTACACGTAACTCCACTAATACTACTAGATTCTTATAGTAAATGGTTTTCATGTCTCTAAAAAATGTAATTTTTCGAATTGTTGTCATATCAACTTGTAATCAGCTATAAATGGCCAACCCAAAATGTAAGCTGATTTCTCTCCATACCGCTTTCTTAATTACAATCCATCCTAATCTGTAAATGAAAAGGTTCAGAAACCAAATAAGAATGGATTATCCCTGCAGAAGTTGTTTAAATCGAATATCAGAATCACTAGAAATGCCATTTAATTGGTACCGATATTGTGTTTAATTTATTCTTGAACGTTTAACCTGTGTGAGGCCCCCATGTTTTTGGCATCACTCCCATGTTTTGGCAACTAGCTCTGTTATTCAAGAAAATTATATAAGTGAACAACCATCAACTAATTAGTGTTAAAATATCGGTTGCTTAGGTGTCGATATATATTGAATATTGATTATGGGTGTAAGTACCTACCAAATATATATCAATTAAGAATATCATTTCAAAGTACGGGAATGTTTATGTAAGAAAAAAATAGAGGAATATATTTAAGAAAAGTGCATAGTATAGTGAACATATTACCCTTATAACTCAAAAATTAACATAAAATTACTAGCCAAAGATAAAATAAAAATATTATCTATGGAAAATACAAAAAAAGAAATGGTCAATTCAGACCAAACCGACCTGGCGACTCATATACACCCCTGGTTACAGCCTTAGAGGATATCGTCCTCGATCTCACTCCATTCTTTCTTCTTACTTCTCCTTATTCAGAGCCACACTCCCTGCCCTATAAATTACCCTCTCATTCCCCTGTTTTGATAAGCAGGGGAAAAACAGAGTACAAACAGAGCGCAACAGGGGAAGGAAAGAAAAAATAAAAATGAGAAGTTCGTCAGTAGCGGCAGCGATTTTCGCTGTGGTCTTCTCTACCCAACTGCTCAATTCAATCCTCGCCGCCGCTCCGTCCCCTGCGGCGCCGGAGCTTCCAAACCCAGGTGCCGAATTCATCAGAAATTCCTGCAATTCCACGCTCTACCCGAAACGCTGCTACAAAACCCTGTCCCCTTTCGCACCCGAAATCGGGTCCGACCCGAAGAAGCTGGCCAAGAAGGCGCTGAGCGTGACCCTGAAAGTCACCCAATCGGCGTCCAAGCTGATGAGGAGGATGTCCAGGATCCCCGGGGCGCCGGCGGCGATGGCGGACTGCGTGGAGGAGGTGGAGGACGCGGTGGAGGAGCTGGGGAAGTCGATTGACGAGATGGTCGGGGCCCCGGCGGAAGGACCCGAGTTCTGCCGGATGATTGGGGACGTGCAGACGTGGCTGAGCGCGGCGGAGACGGATGACGACACTTGTATGGACGGGTTCGAGGAAGGGCCGGCGGGTTCGTCGGCGGCGACGGTGAAACGGAATGTGAAGAAGTTGGTGGAGAAACACGTGGGGAGAATTGCTCGTTTTACCAGCACTGCTCTGGCTCTGGTGAATCTCTATGCTGCTTCTTCTTCCGGAGTTCCGTCATGTTAATTAAGTGCTAGATTAGTTGATTTGATGTCCGTCTCTGTTTGAAGTTAATGGTGCCATTTGTGTTTCTGAGTGTAAATAAGGTTTGCTTAATTGTACTCGGTCTATTTAGTATTTGTAATCATTTGAAGGTAAAAATATGTGTTTTCAAGTAGCTTGTTTAGAGTTGTTTTCATTTGATTTTGTATTTTGAGTTGAAAGAAAGGATAAGGGTGAAATATGTGTACATTTTATCATTTGAACGGATTATATATTTGTCTAGTTTTGTGTTAGTGCGATATTGATTTGCACAACAGAGTGTATGTGTAGTATGAATTGTGAACAACGAAAGAGGGAATGTAATACGATATTTTTGTTTTCTACTGGATATATTTTTTAATTTTTTTGTTCATTGATACCATCCTGGATCTCTTTTGAAAGAATGTTTAGCAATAATTACGATTATTCTAACTTTATGAAGCGGTGGCGAAGGAATAATAATAAATATGATGATGATATAAAGCGCTATTTGAATGTGTAAACCCATCATACCATATAAATTTTGATGCCCTCATAATAGTGGTCATGATCAAACTCTTCATTGTAAAGCATTGTTTGTCAATAATGAATAGTTGTCATGATCAAACTCTTCATCAGAAAGCATATAATTCATCAATGATCGAAATTTATTTCGGGGAAGTTTAGTATAAAGTTGTCGTATTCAACCATGCGCTACTTTTTTTTTTTTTACTGAGATAGATCGCAAAAGAGAATCGAGATTTCATTGAAAGTAGAAATTAATATATACTAGTACAATGTTAAAGTTTGTAAATGGCAGGGTCACATCTTCATGGTTCTGGTTCGTACTCAACCTGTCAAACATGGGCACGCCCTTTCATTGAGAGTTTCAATGTGGTACAAGCATGGTAAAGGAAACCGTACCGGACATCATACCGGATTACTTTCTGGTAGGGTATTTTGTGGTACAACCGTGGTTCAACCGTTTCGTACCGGTAAATACCGTTTTTGTAATAATAAAATATATTTTTTGTCAAAAAACCGTGTCGGCAAAATCAGAGTACCGTCTCGGAGTAATACCGGATGTATCGGGATATACCGGACAATAAATGAAAAAAATACAAGTAGTTAGCAAATAATAGAAAAAAGAAGAAATTTTAAACAATAATTATTGTTTATATGTTTATAAAAAACTTTCCAATCATTTAAATATTTAACAAAATGAAGGTGGCAAGGGGTAATTATGCAGAAACAAGTGGGTCATTTGGTTATTTTCTTAAATTCAATATAAGGATAGTGAGAGGGTGAGCAGGGAAACCCTAGCCGCCTCTTGGGTCTTCACCAGTTCACCTCGTTCTCTTCTAGTCTTCTTCCTCTCTCATTCTGCAACTGCAAGACAAAAATACAAAGAAACAAAAGCCCAGACCTTCCATCTTTTATCCCTTTTTTTGTGCATGTCTAACAAAAACGACGGAGGAAGAATAGAACATTCTTCTCCTTCTCCTTCCTTGCTCGATTTGCTCCTCCCCTCCCTTTCTTCTGCCTCTTCTCTCGATTTACTCCGCCAACTTACATCGTCGATGAGAATTGAGAAATAGAACCAGATCCACCAAACCGACCATAAAAGCATCGATCTATGTTCATCTCCTTCCTCCCTCTTCCTCTATTGATTTACTCATCCCTGTCTCCAAGAAATCGAATCAGGCCCTTGTGAGCCAAGGACCATACCGCGGCGTTTCAAAACTGGCTATTTTTTTCTCAATATGCTTCACTGACCGGTCAGACCAATACCGGCCGGTATTTCGCGGTTTGACGGTTTGACAACAAAAACCGGCCGGTGTGGTATTTTGGGCACTGTGACTCTACCGTTCCGGCCAGGCTCCGGTTTCCGGTATGTCGGGTTCGACCGGCCGGCACGGCACGGTTTCCTGTACCATGGGTACAAGTAGACCTAAACATATATTCTATTATTGGCCCTAAAGCAATCCCACACGTGACAAAAGGGAATCTCATTCATTAATTTAAAAGAAATGGAGGAAGAATATTATGAAAAAAGCCATAAAGTATTAATTCTTAGCATAATTTCGTGTACCAGTTGCATGGGGTAGAAGATTTCAATACCTACTTATATATCCAACTGAATCCGAGCTATACGAAAATACGGTGCCTATGGCTCATCTAAGGTCTAATTTACAATGATAATAACAACTTTATTATATTATTTCACAAAAAAAAAAACCTATAAAACATGGTGCTTATTGTTGATGTGACTTGAATCGGACTATCAGTCGTTACGACTATCAGCCCGCGGTGTATGGGCTCAATGTTATTTGAGTTCGGGTTCTGGGTCTGGTCTTTAACCATTTCCTTTGCCAGATTGGATTAGGTTTAGATCCACATGGAGAAGTTCTATAAATACTTCTCATACTCCTCTGTAATCTGTAATCTCCTCGATATAGTGAAACTGGCTCTCTCTCTCGCCCGTGGACTAGCTAACACACATCGTGTTAGTGAACCACGTATATCGTGTGTCTGTTTTTTTTTATTCTCGCTTTCGTATTCTTGCTTTATCGATTCCGGCAATTTCCAGATCCGTAGCATCGCGTTTATAACACTTATGGCTTATCAAAGGCCAATTTGCAATAATAATAGCGATAATATATGTTCCACAACATCAACAAAAAAAAACTATAATATACATAACACGTTAAGAGCATCCACAACAATGAAATAACAAAGTCAATTGTATCTACGGTCACTAGCGCCACCTCAATAATTTTTACAATTCAACCCATGCTAATTTCACTGTACATGCATCGGTGAAATTCTCTTACAATTTGAATTAGTGGGCTCAACTAATTTTCGTGATAGAATTATAAAGCATGCGGTTACAGAAGTCCACCATCCCCGTTTTTAGACTATCGTGACTTTCGTATTAGATTGCATTTGTTTCAAAAATGAAAATATACAACGGGTAATCACATGAATACAATTTATAATACAATTTATAGCGATCCATGTCGTGGGCCTTTCGTTTGATGTCAGATCACAGATGGGCATTTAAAGCCCAATTGGCCCCATTCTTATATGGTCCACAGAATCGCTACCATACCCGTGCAGACAGACGATAAGCCACCTCCGTCGTCTTGTAGAGGGTTCGTTGTCGTTTCAATGGTAATCCTATTCGACCAATTATATCGATTTTCATTTTCACACGGCTTAATTTGTTCCGAAACATTGTTCGAATTCGAAGATATAAAATACAGATTCTGAGATTAACAAGTAACCTGGGAGGGGCAAGTGCCTCCAGGAAACATAATAACGAGTACAGCCAAACCGACGAAATTTGAAGAGCCCACACTTGAAAGATAAGATTCTCTTATATACACGAGTTTGTCCGTTTGGGGTCTACATGTTCTTGAGTTGAGCTCTTTGAACCTGGAATGATTAATTACACGAGTTTATACGTCCTTTTATGATCTTATTAAAAAAAAAAACAACAACAATAAGGCATATTAAGTCGAAGTGGCAGTATTTTGAGTTGGTATGATTACTGTAATTGTTATTGAGCTGGCAAATACTTTGGAAAAAATAAAACACAGTTGTCAAATTCTATTGTGATTAAATTATTACTAAAAAAAAATCAAATTAATCTAATGGTTACCAGGAAATTTCTGCCGGAATGTGCACAACTAATCACGATTATCTATAGTGCTGTGAATAGAAGGAAATCATCATTCTGTACTGTTTTTTCGTTAATCAATGAAAATTTATTATTTTCCGAAGTCAAACTATTACATTAAATAAGAAAATAGATCCCCATTGATTTGAAATGAACATTAATTTTAAGTTTATTGATCAACATTAAAGCCCAATAACAATAGTTAGCTGAAAATATGAATGCTGAATTAGTTGCACATACTGAAGCATCCGTTGATAATGTCCTCAGTACTGTTATACTTTGGTTGGGATGTCGTCATATAATCATTTCGCCCAGTAAAATCGTTAAAGTTAACAGAAGCCTCATAATTTATGACTGGATTTTGGTTACCTCCGTGGATTTGTTTGTCATGGGAGTTTAGGGAGATGGACGGTGGTTGAGCTAGATTGGTTGTATTCGGACTTCGGAGGTAGTAGTAGAGTTTGGAGTGGATGTGATTTTTTTCATTTGTGCCGTCAAGAGAGGAAGAATTGATGAATTATATGAATCATATGTTGAACAAGTTATTTTTTGTTTTTAATATTAGAGATTTTTTTGGTTTCTTTTATTTATGAATACTTTATCGTTGTTTTTATCACTTACAAAATTTTACCAAATAAAGCTTGATGGCATGATATTATTTAGTCCGAGAGCGGATCTGGTGACTAGGGGGGTCCTTAGTCACTTGGCTAAGCCCCTCCTAGCCATTAGATCTGGACACTTCAATCCAATGGTTAAAAAGTGGGAAGGGCTATTTAATTAATGACAGGGGTAGTTTGGGTATTATGGAAAATTACGAAGTATACAAACCGGATTTACAATCTGTACAAACCATACAAACATACGAACAGTACAAACTAGAGCGACAAAACATACAAACAGATTTACAAACATTACAAACGTATGAACTGTACAAACAATACAAACTAGACCGACAAACAATACAAACCATACAAAAAGAAAAAACAACCGGGTTGACTTTTGAGGCTCCATCCCTATATAGAGGGGCTCCTTCCCAAAGTCAACCCGGGTGTTTTTTAGACATACAAACAGTACGAACATGGTGGACAAAAATGACAAACTAGACCGACAATCCATACGAACGGGAAAAAACACCTGGGTTGACTTTGAAGGCTCCATCCCTATATAGAGAAGTTTCATCCAAAAGTCAACCAGGTTGTTTTTTAGACATAAAAACATTACAAACATGGTGCAAAAAAATAACAAAGTTTACAAACATTACAAAAATAACAAAGCGTACAAACATTACAAAATATGTCAACAAACATCACAAACACTGTAGCCG